TATTATCTCTTACAAGTATTCACCAGTGTATAGCATTTTTCTTATTCCACGTACTTTTACCGTTAAAATGAGACCGAAAGGAAATATTTACGATAAGTGAACGCACTAGAACTTTACGGAAAACTATAATTTTATATATAAATACTACAGTAGTCAGGTGATCGTCACGTGACTTTTTTCCCAGGGTAAATCATAACAAAATGAAACATAATTTATTGTTTTATCATAGAATACCACTGATTAGACGTTTCCCGTTCATACAGCAATTATGTACCGCTTTGGTGGTCTTATTGTTTATTATGCCCAAATAGCTAAAAACAGTACTGAATGGCCTTAACCATCCCGCGTATATCTGTCATTATTTTCTTATATTTTTACTATCACATACATTTGTAAAGTTTCTCTTGTAACCAATATAAAATTCATAAATACGGCAAAATTGCCATCTTGTCCATCTTAAATTGTTATTTTATCGTAAGAAGGTATCATTTGCCGAGCACCATTTTCTTGCATTTTGTAGATAACTATATAAGCTACATGCTGTATTACATTCTATTAAAAACAAAACATGATCTTACAAGATTCAGGTCTTTAAAAAAGACAAATTTTGCTGAATCGGCACTTTTTCAAAACCATGCAATATCAACCTGCCAGTAGGGGTATTGAGAAATGTCCAAACTTTGAAAACTATCCTAATATTCTTTCATTTTAAGTTGTTTGTTAAGGTATTAGTTATCATTAAGCTGCAATTTTTCTATAATGATACAAAAAAACAGGTCAAAATATCCTAAAATAGGCTTAAAATGTCAGTACAGAAATGGACAATTATCGAATGTTCTGCATACACAAATAATGGCTGAATATTTTTTCAAAATATTTTGCACAAATAGTTATTACATATAAGGTATCAAAATGACAAAATATCAGTCTGATTGGATAATTTTGGATTCGGACCATTTTGCATGATTTTACCACAGACTGGCTCTTACATGTACATGATGTAATAATGATATAAAAAACAACAGCATCTTATTGATCTATATATTATTGTTAAAATTACCTTTCATTTATATATATTCGTAGATATGATCACAATTTTTAAATTAAGGCCATTTCTGTTGTAAATTTAAAAAGATTTTTTATCGATCAACAGTCGAAGCAGAAAATAATTGCTAGAATACAAACGAGGACAAAATGATTGTTTTCGTTTGAAATATTTGATAATTTCTTTCTAAAGATACGGTTGATTAAATATATCTTATAATCTTTTAATTTATCTGACTTCAATGATACACATATTACCAAATGATCAAGGTTCTGACACTAACAAAATCTTCAAATTAAAGTAAACATGAAAATAGTTATAAAAGTCAGTCCCAAAATTCGTTGAACATTTTCAGTAAAACCTGCATAAACCGGCCAGTCATAAGACTATTCAAACGACCATACAGTTTATCGGGGTTTACAGGTCGACAGAAATTTATTGACTTATGATGTCTAATAATGTGCATGCAATTATTGTATCTCATTGTTAGCAGAAACTATTAATATAAATAGTGAAGAATATCTTAGTTAAAGGTTGTGTCAGTGTATGTGTAACGTTTTTTGACAGACAAATGTTATTTTTCCCTGTCCGTACGCCAGTTTACTATGTATAATAGTTTTTGAGTTACCGATTCAATTTTCTTTGAAATTCATGAAATTTGCAATAAAAGTTTGTCTTCCAAATTAAAAAAAAAAATGGAATAATAGGATTAATCGTCGCATGGTGTTCGGGGTTCTTCGTACTGCCTCGAATTTTTAGATGAAAATTATAGACTGCTGTGCCACTGTTTTTGACAATTTTACCTAATTTCGAGGTTAGAATTTTGATCAGGACGTGCGAGTCATATCAACAAGAATCATTGACTTACCAAAGCCTACTTTGACTGTTTTATAAATACAAATTTACAAAATACGACTTCGATCAGCATTTGGATACACAAGTGGACCCTAGTTCCAATGAAAGTCTAAAGCACCAATTGCTATTATTCCACCATCTCGTTAAAGTTGCCTATGTCGTTAATTGTCTTGGACTCTCATAACTATACAGCACTTAGTTTTAGAAGAAGAAAAAAACAAAGACTTCTGCTGCAGTTCATGGATGGAATTGTCCTATCCGTGAAGTCAAATGCGTTTTTGGAATTTTACAGCATAAAAAGAATTAAGTTAGTAACAGAACTTTATGCTTCATGTTTCGGGTCAGTATTGCCTGACAAAACGTTTATGATCTTTATTTCATACAATTACAACTGTCTTGTTTTGGGTCAGCATTGCCTGCCAAAACGTTTTATGATCTTTATTTCATATAATTACAACTGTCTTGATTTGGGTCAGCATTGCCTGACAACACGTTTACTTTGATCTTTAGTAAAACAAATGCTATGCGTCTGATTTGGGTCATGAAATAAAGAGCATAAACGTTTTGGCAGGCAATACGCCTGCCAAAACGTTTATGCTCTTTATTCATACAACTACAACTATTTTGTTTTGGGTCAGCATTGCCTGCCAAAACGGTTTATATGATTTTTAGTAATAAAAATGCTATGCTTCTGTTTTGGGTCAGCATTGCCTCCCAAAACGTTTTATGATCTTTATTTTATATAATTACAAATGTCTTGTTTTGGGTCAGCATTGCCTGCCAAAACGTTTACTAATATATGATCTTTAGTAATAAAATGCTATGCTTGTTTTGGGGTCAGTATTGCCTGCCAAAACGTTTATTATCTTTATTTGATATAATTACAACCGTATCTTGTTGTGGGCCAGTATTGCCAGCCAAAACGTTTATGATCTTTATTTCATACGATTGGGGTCTATATTGCCTGCCCTCCTGCCGATGCTGTCTTTACACATTATTCAGACTGTCAATGTGGACATTTGATAGGCTACCATTAAATTGTTTTTTAAATTTTATTGCTTGGTTTAACTTCCTGTATATATACATGTATTGTTCGTAAATCATGTTATGGTTTTTAATAATGCCTATTTAATTCAAATTCGTAATTATTCAAATTATATATATATATATATAAAAGGACTTCATGGTTTATCCCAATTATGTACTAAATGCTATGGTCTATAGAGGGAAACCCATCACAATTAAAGTTTTTATATTTAACTAAACTGGTTATTAATTAAATGGGTTTTTTTTCTTTCGAGAAAAAATTTAGAGTATGTGTCAAAAGTTATAAATATTTACTCGGTTAAAATTTACATCATTTAACTTTCATCATGTTCATTGCAATTTAAGGTAAATAAAAGTTATACGAAAAATCACTAAAAGCTGGAATATTATTTCAAAGATATTTTTCATTTTACAACTTTATTACGACCATATACAATATAAACTTTTTAAAATGTATTGCATTGGAATATCAGTATGTTCAGAATAAGTTCTGTAGCATGCAAGGAAGAAAATGAATATGAATTTATTTTATATGTTTATTTATTTTTATTATTTTTATTTATTTTTTTTTTTTCATTAGAAAATTCAAATTCCCGATGTATATAAAGTATATTTTAAGTGTAAATTAAAAGGCCCAAAGTTTATCAGTGCTGGATAAGTAAGTTTGGTGGATTCCCGTTATTTTTATAGTGGTATTATCGATATAAATTATTACTATTAATATTGAATGGTGGTATTCACCAGTCATTAAATTTCTAAAAAGCTGTATATTCAAGATTATGACTAAAGCTTAACTTTTTACCGAATCATGAGTTTCGCAAAATATTTCTGAAGTCTCATATCAATAATAACAAAATAACTGAGAGTTAAAAAGGTCTACATTAGATACTTATTTACTAATTTCAATTTAAAACCTTTTTCCTTAAGAAATTTAATAAATCTATGATCTTTATACAATTTGAATGAAAAATGTCAAGTGTAGTATGATAATCAGTTGCTCATGATACCATATAGAAATAGTCAGATATAAAACTTCGTATTTAAAAAAAAAATCCATGGCATCGTAAAAATGTACTTCTATTTTGTTTGAAGATTTAAGATTAAAGATAAAGTTTCGGTTAATTAATGTACTAATTGTCCGTACTAAAATATCTAGGGGATACTATTATTAAATGTCTAGATGTAAGACGAAATATGAATTCTGAAACATATACTTAACGACGATTATATTGTAATTTTATTGCTGTGGTCCTGATCGGATTAAGATTTACACATTTAATCATTTTTATCAGTAAGAGATAATTTAAAAGTAATATCTTGGTATATGATCATATGAACTTTTAATATTTCTGCTCAATGTGGAAACGTTTTACAAAAATAAAGTGTTATTTTTTGGTGTACATGTATGTGAATGTCATGCTTGTAAATTTTTCAAGTTATATATAAATTGTATTCACGTCGCCAGAGTCCTCCGGCGGGGGATCCACTCTTTCAGCCTAAGAGTGGATTTGGGATCCACTCGTTCAGCTTAAGAGCGGACTCGTGGCAGATTTGTCTCCCCACCTTTGCTATTCTTTGTCATTTATTCAATTGATATGATATTAGTTGATGTAATTTCGTATTAATTATGTATTATTATTTCATATTAAATATGAACTTTTATGTCAAATGTTTTATTTGCAAAATGTATTTTTGCATTTTATGATTTTTAATAAATGACCTTTTTTCGTCAGTTTAGTTTTTATATCATATAGCAAATCAAGCTCAAACTCTGGCCTGCGTATACATAGTATGATTATGGTTTCTAGCTGTCTGTCTTAAAATACTTGAAGAAGTAAAGGTAAAATGGAGGTCCTTTTATACAAAATTAATGGTATTTATGATGATATAGATGAATAAAATATACTTAAATGTATCAAAAGCTTAATTGCTTGCTTGCTTAAAAATATTTTTTTTAGTTTTTATCTTTTTATCACATTTTTTAATTATAAGCATTGCTTTTTACAAAACGCGTCCAATAAGCTTTTTCGAATTCACTGATAAAAAATATTGATAAATTTTTAAACACTTTATTATAAAATCAAATTGTTGATAGTTAATTCGCAATCTCTCTTAAGTTTGCGTAAATTCCACATGCCTTACTTATTTTCTAACTATTATAACAGAAGTGAAATAAATCAACTAGAAAAACGGAACAAAGAAGTAAACAACTTAATATTTAATTTACCCGTCTCTCTCTCATTGTTTAAACCTCTATTTATCATGAAGTACACTTCCAATGAACTTTTTAACTCTTTTTTTTTTGTAAAGTTAAGTGCTAGTAAAATATTTTTTTTAAATATGTTGATTTTGTTATTATTTTTCATTATACATTACGTTTTACTTTTTATCAATCAGTTTCATAACATTTATACCACATCGTAATGTGCCCATTTCACCGAAGGAACAGGTTACATCTTGACTTTTAAACACACATGATAGCGAATACAATACATTAGAAATAAAACAAATAAACACACAAAACTCAAGAAATTGTTTACAAATCTACGGTAAATACAAGTTGTGTAAAAACTTTTTTTTTTCTAAATCATACAATGTTACTTCTATTGTTCAGATTCATTATCAAAGAGGTTTGTATAACCTTACACGTCATCTAGATTCAAACAAATTTAATTAGTTGCAATGATATGGTAAGCAAAAGTCTCTCACGTTGTGTTATGTTCAATCATGTTTAGTTCAAATCTATCGCCTTGAATTATTGGCTACAACTGATCGTCGGTAATCTAAATGACGTATGTCATGAGTTAACGATTCTCTCATTCGGTGCATTTCTTCTCGTAATTCCTTTATGTCATGCTGGGTAGGTGTCGAATCGATTTCCTTATTTATATCCCTGAAAAAAAGTATGTGTCATAACAAAGAAAATGGTAGTTTCTAAGTATTCGAGGTAAAATCGAATACTAATATATTAGGTTTAATACCAACATTGATTTTCACCTATAAGCCTTTGTTAAATTTGCCCTTTTCAAAATATTGTGCAGAATGTATCTTTGTTTCAAATTAAAACAAAAATACTTAGTATCAGAATAGTTTTATTCTGTCTAGCACCATAGACAAAATTTCACATAATATTGAATTGCATATAAGAAAATAACCATCACTTGATGTTCACCAATCAAATGTTCACCTCTTGTTTTACCTGTGTACATGCTTTAGTAACCATGTAATCTCAAGTTTCCAAATGATTCTATAGAGTCACCAAATAAAATATAATGGTGGTTTGAAACATCCAAGATATATGTTAATAACCCAGATATTTTTTTATTGCAATGAAATGTAGGAATTATTTCCCACAACTGTCAAATTCAAGTGATTATTTTTTTCGACCCTTTTTTGAATGCAACCGAATGTGACGTAATATCATTTGGTGGTATTACATCTATTAATGTTATCGACTTCTGCTAAACCGATAACAATTGCTTTCTCTCATGTGTTGATGCTTGATCTTGGATTATCTGATTTGTTCTTCAAATGATTTGGATAAAACCAGAGGGATAAAAACTCAAATATTTGATTTAAAGCATTAGCATGTAACTGTGACTGTGCAATTGAATTAATCTTTAACACACCGGTCGGTTCTTCTTTTCCCTCTCGTGCCTACCTCAAAGTAAAATAGTCGTCTGTTGCAAATTTGAAGTTGAAGTTTTGATAATACAAATAAATTGTAAAAAATCAGAAAAATTCGGAAATTGCCGTATGACGTGGAGACATATTCACATTTATGATTATTTAAAATCTATTTTTTTTTTTTTTTTTTTGTGATCAGTTGCAGTGTTTTTAATATCGAATTTGAAATCTCTGTCGTTCAAATAGGTTCTTTTGGGTCATAAAGCATTTGACGTTTCTATATTTTACACCTCTCTTGCTTTCTAGCGTGTATTTTTTAGAAAAAACAGCTGATGAAGGTAAACCCATCAGCACTTCAGATGCTTTGAATGTATTAAGTGTTTATTTCACTTACAGTCATTCCATTATCATGCTTAACATCACATGATATAAAAAAGAAGATGTGGTATGATTGCTAATGAGACAACTCTCCACAAGAGACCAAATGACACGGAAATTAACAACTATAGGTCACCGTACGGCCTTCAACAATGAGCAAAGTCCATACCGCATAGTCAGTATAAAAGGCCTCGAAATGACAATGTAAAACAATCCAAACGAGAAAACTAACGGCCTAATTTATGTACAAAAAATGAACGAAGAACAAATATGTAGCACATAAACAAACGACAACCACTAAATTACAGGCTCATGGCTTGGGACAGGCACATACATACAGAATGTGGCGGGGTTAAACATGTTAGCGGGATCCCAACCCCCCCCTAACCTGGGACAGTGGTGTAACAGTACAACATAAGAACGAACTATAAAAATCCCATTTGTATGAACTTTGTTATGAAAATGAAAAAAACACAAAAGACCTCATTATTATATGACTGACACAGTCATTTTGTCAAAAATAATACATTTAATAGTGATGTTGAATTTAGAAAATGTTTACTAAAGGACTGTAAGAATAGGAAAAAAAAACATTAATATGACTAATATTACAATCTCTATCAGGCAGAATTTTAATTTCTAAAAAATGTATCTAAAATATGGCTCAACAGCAAACATAATAATTATATAAACCAAAATGATAGAAACCGACAGGAGTGGTTATTTAAAAAACACGCTAGATGATTATCCTAGATTGCAATAGTGAAAGCTAGAAATCATAATCGTTAAACATCTTAAATAGATACATTTGTGTCAACCAAGATTTGTTATCTGTCAAGTACTGGAAGTGACGTAACTTCTGTGGGTAAGTCTGAAAATTATCGAAAAGACTGTCATAACGAAATAATAGGTGTTCAAATAAAAACGGTCGTTTCGATTAAAAATTTGGTTTACTAACTATAATATGTGTTACAATGTACTGATATATTTTGTTTTAATTGATTTATTAAGATGCAATACTTTGAAAATTTCACATTCAGAACAGAATATTATTGATTTCAAAAGCAAAAATCTACATCTTAAATCATCGTTTATCAGTGTTTTTTTTTTTTTTTTTAATATATATTTTTTTTAACTCACATCTTAAAAAACTGGACATAGAAAAAAGAAAAAAACAACCAGCATAGAGTAAGATTCCCCTTTTAGCACACAAGAAATATCAATAAACTCATCATAGATACCAGGATTCAAATTTTGTATTTACGCCAGACGCACGTTTCGTCTACAAAAGACTCATCAGTGACGCTCAATTCAAAAAAATGTAAAAGGCCAAATAAAGTACGAAGTTGAAGAGCTTTGAGGACCAAAATTCCTAAAAGTTTTGCCAAATATTCCTGAAGTAGAAAAACCTTAGTATTTCAAAGATTCAAAGTTTTGTAAACAGTTAATTTATAAATATTACCATATCAATGATCAAACGAAGTTAAACATCGAACAGCAGTCCACTTTAATTTGATAGTTTCGAAAACATCAAATAAAATCGAGAATGGAAATGGGGAATATGTTAAAGAAACATCAACCCAACCTATGAGCAGATTACAGCCGATGGCCACCAATGGGTTTTCAACGCAGCGATAAAATAAGGCACTCGGGGGTTGGTCTCAACTAGCTCCTGAATAAAAATGTGTACTAGTTCACTGAAAATGGACATCATACTAAACTCCAAAACATATAAATGAACTAAAATTTAAAGAAAAACATACAAGACTAATAGTATTTTTACCTTTCATCGGTCATCATGTTCCGTGCATCATATCTATTACGAGCAAAAGAAGGTCCGTTCTGAAAGGTTTCGTATGCAATTTTTTCAACAATATGTAGTCTTTCAATTTCTTCGGGCTTAACATCATATACTACAAAAAAATGTTTATTAATTATAGCAAAATATATTACAAATGTATTAATAAGTAGTTCAAATGTTTCTATATAGACGTTACACCAACGTCATTGCTAATTGGTCATTGTGATTTGTTCCTTTATGAATACATGATAAATAAACATTACAACTTCCTGAAACTTTCTTTATCTAATGAACTAAAAATGATATATTGAAGTTTGTAAAAGTTTCTTTGTCACCATTCAAGATTTATTCAGAACAAGTAAGAGATATACAGAAAACAATACTGATTTTCTTTAGTATTTGATATTATAGATGTATTAAAAAATACGATAAATGGTTCGTATTGATATATTGTTGGTATCATGATCTGCCATAATCAAATAAACGACAAATGCATCAGATTGTTAACATCGACAAAAAACATATGTGCGTTGCATGCAATGAAATGCAGACCAATTGTACTTGATATTTCATTTTGATATTTAGTAAATTGTTTCTGCATTTCAACTTTAAGACTAAGAATGAATATTGTCATCCGATTTATAATTTCAGTAGGTGATCAAAACATTTCTTATATTGATTAAGCTATATAGACATTTGCGTTTTACAGGCTTGAAACAATTATGAGATGTGGTACATGTAGTATGATTGGCAATTAAACAACCATTCACCAAATTTCAAATGAAATCGATGAAATCAAATGGTAGGAACTGCACGACCTTCAACAATGAAAAAACCTATACCGTATGAAACGATAAATATGGAACAATTCAATTAAGAAAACTATCGACCTAATTTACAACAAAACAAACATGTTTATTCCCTTGATATTCTATCAACACGGAGCTTATCACACAAGTAAACCTAGCAACATGTTTTATTAATAATACAGGATTACAATGCTTTTCAACCTCAAAATATCTTGTACAATATTTACCAAAGGCGCCTCCATACTTCTTAGTAGTCCGTAGTTTGTCATAACAAAATACAACGATTCTCCATAAGTGTATTACTATTGGTATGGGGAACATTGGTCTTTCATAGTACTCAGATACCAATGCATATCTGTGGAATTTCCATATGATTTCAGAATTGTCTTGTACTGTTTGGAATGTTTGGCTGTAAAAAATAAATGATTACGCAATATACATGACATATCCGTTGTTGTTATGATACACTTACTTGACAAGTTAGACATGCACGAAATAAAGATTTAGCACCGTATCAGATAACATGAACGGCGTGACAACCTAGTGTGAGCAACCTTTCAATTGTGTACTTTCAAAAGGATTTCCTACAATGCAACAAATGCAAAAATGAAAAAAACTGTTATTGTTTTGTTGGGATTTTTTTTTACTTCTCTTTTATTGTTGTTCGTACGATTTTCGATTCTTCTGAGACATGCATCATTTGTTTCGTGAAAATGAAATACTAGTAAACATAACTTAACACCTGACATTTTATTCAAAAAAGAAATTTAAAATAAACTAACTATGATAGTGCAATATAATTTCAAAAATTATCCAACATAAATGTACATTGTATCAATTACTTACGAAAACATCGCAATAAGGATGTTGACTAAGAGAATATTTGTCAGAACTAGATACACAGCCAACATAAGCGCATTGTACTGGTTGGTTACCGCACATCGCGCCATTGTTCCGTTCGTGTATAACTGAGGGTTCTTCGTACATTCTGAAGGTTCTTTCCCTGCGTAATATCAACATATATAAATAAGATAAGAAGTACTAAATTAAAACAATCTAGACATATTAACAGTATACATGTACTTTATGAAATGTAAGTGGTTATCCAAGGTTAGGACGAGAACAAATCTGAGTTGCGCTTGCAATGTGTATTCTTAATAAATATATAATGAGGAGATGGGATGAAATATACAATGTGAAAACAAATTTAGTCAATTAATGTAGATATGAAATGGTAGAATTACTAATTCTAGTAATGCAAGTTTCAAAAAGCAAACACGTTTTTTTCATGAAAAATAAATCAAAGCTTTCTTACTAAAGTTGTTTTCATTTTAGAAAAAAACTATGATAAATACTTTTTTTTATATTGAATATGTTGTAATTCAATTACTTTGTATAATAGGAATGTAAGAACATACGACAATTCATTGATTTATAGATCAAAGTAATACAAGTTCTTGTCAATATCTTTACCCAAACGGCATAATCCGAGACAAAAGCACGTAGAGCAGTGGATGTCTGTGTGTATGGCTATTTGTTTTAAATTATCTCCTCTATTGTTTGTTTGGTTTTTTTTGGGTTGGTTTTTTTGCATAAATCAAGATGGTGATTTACTCGGTGGAATTGTTTTGTTTTTGTTTTTTTTTTTTTTATTTTGTGCAGTATGGGTCTTTCAATGCTATACCATGTATTCTTTGTCGTATTTGCTCATTTGTGAATGATGAACAGTTACTATTAGTTGTGTACGTCTTCGTACATTTGGTCTCTGTTGGACAGTTATCTCATTGGCAATCATAAACATCTTCTATTTGTATTTATCTTTAAATATGGTATTTTGATTTTATGCATCGTTATTGATGAGTCGTTTGTAGACGAAACGCGCGTCTGTTGCAAATACAAAATTTCGATCCTTGTATCTATGATGAGTTTATTAACCACCACTGGGTCAATGCCACTGCTGGTTGAGTTTTATTCCCCGACGGTATCACCAGCCCTGTATTCAGCACTTTTGTGTCGACATGAATTATCATTGATATGGTCACAATTATAAATCAACTGTCTAAAAACATTGATTTTTTGAAATACAAAGACTTTACTACCTCAGAAATAGATGACAGTAGCTGTATCTGGCAAAACGTTTAGCAATTTTTGGTCCTCAATGCTCTTCAACTTCGTACTTTTTTTGGCCTTATTAACTTTTTTGGATTCTAGTGTCACTGATAAGTCTTTTATAGACGAAACGCGCGTCTAGCGCAAATATAAAATTGTAATCCTGGTATCTATGATGAGTTTATCGAAAGTATGTACGGGTCACTCTTCACGTTGTACACTTTGAAGTGTTCCTGTACAATTCATGAAGTAGTTGAATGAAATACTCTATTATGTTCAGAAACTGAACTAAAAACTCATCAAAGAAACCTTGTTTATATTTGTGCACGCCAGACTAAAGTTTCATCTACATGAGGCCAAATAAAGTACTAGTAAACGAGCATGCTGACCAATAATTTCGTAATTGTTGTCAACAGTTAAGGATGTATTTTACTGCGGTACAAAATCTTTAGTACTTCGAACAACTCAAAGTTTTTTTTAAACGTTTGATTTATAAATATTACCATACCAATAATAACACATGTCAATATATAGATACTTGTATATAGATACTTTATTCTCTGAAAACTAAAATTTATTAATGTTTTATTTTCAATTTTAGCATTTCCATTAAGTAAATTGATATTATATTAATTTTCCAAAACTAGTTTATAACCTCCACAGATTAATAGGCATTGTGACTTGGATAAAGAGTTGTCTCATTAGCATTCATACCACATCTTCTTATTTCTATGTTGTTAAGAAGGCTGCACTACGTTAGCGGTGATATGTGTTATGTTTATCTTCATGGTTTTGTGTAACTTGGAGCATTTAGTATTCATGACAAGTTTTTGATATTTCGTTTTAATGTATTGACAAATCTTATATATTAATATACCTTGTAATATAGTACACATCTGTTTTGTTGAGGATGTTTTTTGGCAAAACAGATGTCTTTCATATGATTTGTCTTGTTTCGATGATTTATATTTGATTGATATCTATACCTTTTCTTCATTTGTTTGACTTATCCAAATCTGAGGAGATTTTTTTTTTTTGCGTTTGCCGATAATTTGTATTGTAACCTTTCTTTGGGCATTAAGGAAGAAGACAGTAAATTGTTCCCGAGAGAAAAAAGTTTAATTCTCATCCAACGAATATAATAGCAGTTATACGGTACATTTTTTTATGAGCTGATGCCATTTGTATAGAAAGGAAATGATCAGTCAGTTTTATCTTATGTTGTTTTTACAGTTCAGCATGTTTTAGCTATACATCCGAATTCATTTACTTGCCAATTGTAAATGAACAGCTTGACTTTTAAAGAAAACAGAAAGGCACGGAAACTAAATTTCTACGTTCGATTATTCAGTCAATCAGAATATATGCAAACAAATATGTCTAAATAAACAAGTACAAAAACAAGTATAAACATAACAGATACCTTCAATGCGATCTATATTTAGCTCGCCATATAACTGCCAGTATGGTAAATACACAAGATCTTTTAGCAGCTCCCAAGGTGAAGACACTGAATTAGGGAACAATACAGCTTGGTACATGATTCCAAAACTGAATACGAACAGTGCATAAAGAGCAATGAAAAAACCAAGGTCTCCAAACTGTAAAAAATGTCAAATTCAAGATTAAGATTATACTTATCGGCTTATGGACTGTTCGCAAAACATCTGTTGTTTTTCATTGCAAACGATTTAAATTTAAACAACAATAGTAAAAAAAGGCTGAAAACTACGTTAAGAGCATACCTAATCTCGTAATCTTTAGCAATATTATTATTTCAATTAAGTTTATTTAACCATCTCAAGCATACTAAGCTTAACAATGTACTTATTTAGTAGATTGATATATTTCTTATTAACATATACCTTTTTTTACTTATTTGACTTTTATATTGTGCTTTCTATGTATTCCTTTGAAGTTTTTGTTACCACGACCTGGTACATGTCATGTAATGCCTATTTTGTTTCTTCTACTTTTGTCTTGTTTTTCTCGTCATTTCACTTTTATATTATTGAAAATGTATAGTATTATGTCATTATACTAGTAAAGAAAAAATACATTGATGCAAAAATACATCAAACAATTTATATATAAAAAAATCTCTACCCTATATATTATATGAAAGAGCAAATATGAAGTCTGGTATATTTGATATAACAGTTAATAAAGGTTGTAGTCCATCCATGATAAGGATCTGTCATTAATGTAAATATATGCTTACCATTCTACCTATCATTACAACTTTAGGTCCAATAAATCTTTCGATGAAAAAGAAATGCATGCTACGCAAAATAAACATTGATAAAGTAACTGCATAAGCCATTCGTGCAAAGTAAAACTGGTCCGAACTCAGTAAACATCGTAGCACAACAGACAACAAGAACATGAGATACATAACAATGTCGAATATATTCCAGACATCTTTAGCCCAATACTTCAGATTTTTTAGTAGTGAGCCCTTGTTCGTCTGCAGTATCTGTGTAAAACAAATTTAACAAACTAAATTAATGGATAAAAATGTAAGGTTCAGTATTGACTGTTTGTGCTTTTTTAAGACATCTTGATATGTTCGTCTGCAGTATCTTTGGATAGAATTTGTGAAATTTGATATATATAAAAATCAGTTCACATAAGTGTCTAAGCAAATCATGTTGTATAGTCGTACAATTGCATTGCAATCTTGTCGTCAAGGAGTGTTTTGAATATTTGTGTTGTAAAGGTTAGTTCCATATCAACGTGGAAACCTGAGCATTTACTCATATTAACGATCAGGCAAAATATAAACTAATATATTTATTTTTTTAACAACTAGTCGAAACCTAAATTAGCTTCTATGACTTATCGTCTGGAAGCTATTATTGTTTAGACCTGGAACACCGAACAATTGGTTATTAAAAGAGATCACGTTCTAACAGAAATTAGAAGTGCGGTTTGAGTGCCAATGAGACAATTCTCAATCCAAGTGACAGTATGTAAAAGGTAAATAATTATAGGTTTATACACTGTTTTAACAGCCTGGTTTATTGCATATATACCATCTGTTAGACTTTTGACTGGTAACAAAAACCATGCCTTCTCGAAAAAAATCGATTTCGTTTGTAAACACAAAAGGTATATATTGTATTCGTGACCAATGGTTGTTATCGTTAACTTAATATATGTTAACAAGCTAAAAGGTTCAAAATGTGCTAAAATACAAGAAAATATATAATACGAACCTGTCTGATTTCCTCTATTGCTAGTGACAAAGTCCACCCCCAAGAAGCATATTCAAGTAAAGAAGGCGGACTCTCTGACAAAGGGTACAAATCAGTCAAAACAAATATCGCAAAGATCACCACAAATGTCATGTATGCAATCTTAAAAAAATATATGGTGAACTATATTAGGTAACAACTCTTTCATAAAAGCTCTTCTAATATGAATGCTATAAATCTTACTGACATTTTAAGGAATGCTGCGTAGCCTCTACAGTACTTAAAATGTAATTCATTTTCTTTTATTATTGTTTTGTTTTCTGATCAAACAATTATTGTCTGAAAATCTTCCCTGTACATTTTATATTATTTTATGATATTTAATATTTTGAATATCGCTTTATCTCTAATATATATATATATATATATATATATATTATATGATCCGTTCATTCTATTTTGACTCCTCAAAATTCAAGACTCTATCCTCAATTGAGGTCAATTGTATGGCTTTCCAAATACCGTTTCGATTCCTAACATCACTGAAGAGACATTAATTGTCGAAATCCGGATATGGTGTACAAAAACCTTTGCACCTTTTGTTTGCGGTATACCATCTTTTCCGCAAGTTTATTGTTTTTTGTTTAGTATTAAATGTATAATTAAGATTCATTTATTACATCGGTGATCTGTTTATTTGGCAATCGCAAATGGCAGTCAGCAGGGTTTAAGAACATTTGTTGTTCGACCTGTTAGTCAAATGCGTTTTGTTAAAATATACTTTTTCACTTTTTTGGTCTTTTGGGAAATTTTGTTTGTGCTGCATTTAGACCCCTCTAACAAGAAATTTATTTTGCATGCACACGTATAAAAATTGCGGTTTTTATCCAACGCAATCATAGGTTTGAACGTTGTTTTCAATTTAGACTTGTTTATATTTTTTCGTTTGGGCTTGTATTATATTTGCCTTCGGGTTTATATAATCAGTTCATCCTATTTTGACTCCTCAAAATTCAAGAGTCTATCCTCAATTGAGGTCAATTGTATGGCTTTCCAAATACCGTTTCGATTCCTAACATCACTGAAGAGACATTAATTGTCGAAATCCGGAAATGGTGTACAAAAACCTTTGCACCTTTTGTTTGCGGTATACCATCTTTTCCGCAAGTTTATTGTTTTCTGTTTAGTATTAAATTTATAATTAAGATCCATTTATTACATCGGTGATCCGTCTATTTGGCAATCGCCAATGGCAGTCAGCAGGGTTTATGAACATGTGTTGTTCGATCTGTTAGTCAAATGCGTTTTGTTAAAATATACTTTTTCACTTTTTCACTTTTTTGGTCTTTTGGAAAATGTTGTTTGTGCTGCGTTATACAGATCTAACATTGTTAGGCTGATGTTTAGACGAATTATATATATATACATATATATATTATATATATATATGTTTAGGTGAAATAATGTTTTTAATGTGTAACCTGATACATTGTTGATTGTGTAAATGTAACATACATTTCACATGTTCCCTGAAAAATTAGCTACCTAAGATATAGCGTTGGATCTCATATAGTTCAAAGTGAAAGTCTTCGTTTTTAACAATTCTGTTTAATCACAAGAATTTTGACTTTTTATATCAGTCCAATTACATGTTGACGTGTTAATCATTTGATTGATTGTTGTCTGCTTACTGTCCAGTGATAAATTTTTTCAAGAAATTGTATCAATTATGCAACACAAATACATAATAACACAAAATATCAAGGTTTTCCAGTTCATCATTGAACATGTTACATGCAAGCAATATGTTTTCTAAACAGTCTCATCTTGATCAGGATATACATTCAAGTACAACTGAAACATGTTATGGTTTATATCTACAGGATATTACTTACGTCATCGTATGTACCACTTAAGATAGCACTTTGTAAATACAGCTGTTTAACAAACCACGCCTCTTTTGGGGAGATATATGATATTCATATATAATTAATTTGGTTAACGGACGGGTTAAAAAAAAACACTTACCATATAGACAAAGAATTTTGTTACTGGTGCACAGTAAAAACGGTATACATTGTATAAAATGTTGAATATTCGAAGAAAAAATCCTGTCTTGTTATCGGAGTTGTCTTTTGGATTTTGGTCCGCAAGTTGATCTAGACAAGGACTTATTTGCTTTGACGTCAAGTATTTTCTTTTCATAGTTATGAATCCTATGCTTTGAATTAATAAAATCGGAAAGAATGTCACCATACCAATCTGAAATATGATATCTATGATAGATTAATCAAACTACGCCGTAAACAAGTGAACTATATTTAGATTTTTTTAAAGAATAATGAAAGATAATTAAAATTAAAAAAACATTAAAGAGCGAATCTTCAATATTGTGAAGGAGTGACATACATGTTATCCTCATCAGACAATATATTTAGAAACAAATTTTTACTCTTTGTTGTGAAAGTCGTCATATATATTAAGTTTCTTTTTTAAATGTAAAAATGAGCAGTTATTTTATCCCAGCAATGTTTGCAAGATTTACAAAAAAAGTTACAATATTTTACATTCAGATGTCTGTCAGACATGTACTAAGGTTTCAGTTTCAATATGGCCAATATAATTCAACGTACCCTCCATAATGGTGTATATACCGCAACATCTCCACTCCATATACTGTTGAGCTGTGCTTGACAAGCCGTATGTGCCATAAACTTGTTCAATTTTTGCGAGACAGCAATCTTTAAAGGTGTAGAATTATATCTACCAACCTTTGTAACCAAGGTTTTAAGAGCGCTTTCTCTATCGGTGCTATACAATTCTGTCATCACATTGCAAGCCAGAGTTTCAAAGTGTCTGAAATTGTTTAAAATTGAGAAACGTTAATCACGACGTGATTTTCAGTAATGACAAAAAAGGATAATTTACAAACACAAAAATAAAATGAAAAATATTTGAGCCAATATAGTAAGTTGAACAAAGGTGCAACGGAATAATCACCAGTTCCTGAATCACTATTACCATTTATTGGTGGTTGATTTGTTCTCAGATCCAGAATCTTGGGAAGAATTGGCTACGATATTTAAAACATGTGGTTTGTCATCTGTTTCAGTGACAGTGTAAATAAAAATTTCGGTGCGATTCAATTTCACGATTTTCTACCCGTATAATTTAAGAAGTGATGACCCATCAATATGAAAGTTTGTCTAGTGGCAATCAGCTTCTGTGGATGGTAAACGCAGACTAGCACCTGAGATCACCCCCGGTTTTTGGTGGGGTTCGTGTTGCTTAGTCTTTGATTTTCTATGTTGTGCCTTGTGTACAATTGTTTGTCTGTTTGTCTTTTTTTCTTGTTTAGCCATGGCGTTGTCAGTTTATTTTCGATTTATGAGTTTGACTGTTCCTTTGGTATCTTTCGTCCCTCTTTTATAACATCATCTGATAAAATGCTTTCTCAATTCGCCGCTGGAATAATGCTACACAGATTATCATTAATGTTCATTTTCTGAATTTGAAAAGTATATGAGCTGAATATTTAGTCTTCAGTTAAATACATTTTGAAAATAATAACTTGATACTCACCATCTTAACCTTATATATGATATTGAAAACATATGTTGCTTTAATTTGCAAGTCTGTTAAACCTAAGGTACACTGTATATATAGTACTGTCATAACTATGTGTCTTACATTCTTTTACGTTATTTATTTCAGAAGACACACCATTATATCAAAGTTAAAATTAGTAAATAAATCAATAAGACATACAAATAGACGATTGTTTAACCCTGACACATTCTGTATGTGCCTATCCCATGTCCAGGACATGTAATTCGGTGCTTGCCGCTTTTTTTTTTTTTTTTTTTTTTTTTTTTTTTTTGCTCTTTGTTTTGTTTGTTTGTCTTTCATTGTTTGTAACATTAACCTGACCGTTAGTTTCCCCAATGTGACAATTTATCACCCTGATTAGTGTAATTGTTTAAAAATATCCCCTTGGTACGAACGTGTATCACTCGATTAGTTCCTACGATAAAGTTGTTTAAACCCTTGTTCCTGTTTATGTTAAAAAGTACACTGTTTTGTGTTCCTGTCATCGTTTAGAACCTACAGTCGTAAAGAAATTAAGGTTTCGGGGGAAAAGAATCATATTAGTTGGACTTATAATTGACCCGCCGTACACGTGTTAAGATTAGCGGAGACCCACCAGCTACAATGAAAAAAATGGAAATATATAAATGTATAAATTAAACAGTGTTAACAAGGAGTATTTTAGCACCTTAAGTCAATTTTATTCAGTAGATCTTCAAAATTATAATCTTTAAAATAATTCACAGTAAGTTATTGTTTGTTTTTGAAGAAAAGTTATCTGAAAATTTACCTCTTGATTTGACATTGAACATTGATTATCAAGGTTATGGTCAGGCAATGTTATAGTTCATTTGAGCAATTGGAAGGGTATTTATTCAAACAATTTTGTAAAAATGATACGAAAATCAAGTGTCTGTTATTCGTATATGAATTAATTGTATTGAGAGTGTCAAAAGTGTATGTGCCAATTAACGACGGATTCTGTGATATTGTATGACACAATCTGTAGCTGTTTCCCTTGGCAATTTTAATAAAATGGACGTCTACCCAAGCAAAGCATGATAAGTTAATAGTTTCAGCAAATCTTTATTTTAAGTAGCTATTGTTTCAAAATGTTTAGCTGAACAAAAGATTTAATGTTATGTAGAAATTTGAAAAACTCATACTTAAGGTAGATGATGAGGATGGAAGTTTTTAACGACCTTGATTGGCTATACAGCCCATGCACGGTCGGACAGGTAGATAGGGTGTCTTCCTCCATCTTGGATTTTGAAATATCAGAAAACTATCTGGCTAGATCTTTCATAAAATGTGCAAATTTTGAGAGTAGTAGGTAATTCATGTGTAAGAATTTTCTTTTCAATATAGAAAATGACATGTTTTATCATATTTCTGGTTTTATTCTACAAAAAACAGAATACTTTTGTTTGATTCAATTTTTTCCAACTTTGCCACATAAGGGGAGTCAACTCAAATGTAAGGGCAGATAATTCATATACAGTTTTACAATAGAATGTGTTAGGAATTTACCCATTTTTTATGTAGCAAGAAAACGGGTCCCGTGACCCCATTTTTTCTTTTTCTTATCTAAAAGCATACTATTAGAACTATCTTATATTCTATCACAAAATTCTACGGTGTAGTTTTTCGTTTTATGGCAGAAAATTGGGTTTTCCATGAATAATCTATACAAATCTGTCAATTTTGCACAACCTGTAGCGTGAAAATGAGCACCGTGACCCATTATTTTTATTATTTGTTTTTAAAAGCATGATTGATATAAACTACGTTTTAGCAAATTATTAAAAATTCTTTTTTTTTTTTTTTTTTTTTTTTTACAATTAGACAAAACTTTATTGAACAATTGCTGTCAGACATTTTATCCAGATTACAGCTATAGTCTGGATACCCCTGTGATGAGTTACTGAACTCCCAGGGAATAAAAGTTCAGTAAACAAATACGTGTGTTAGTTTTACAATTTATTACATTCTTATCTCCTTAATTATTAAAGTGTAAACATATACATTCTTTCACATACAGAATAACGAATTCCATTTGTTATCAATCACATGTTTACGGAACATTAATTTGCTTTCCGAGATTGTATTCATTTTCCTATATTTATAATCAATCATTGACACAGTTATTTTGTACTTGACCTTTTTGTACAGGATTAGTTAACCTGTTTACTATTCATTGTCCGAGAACTAGTGCCAAAAAAAGCACGTGTTTGTAGGAGTAGTTACAAATAAATTATTGGATTAGAATTAAACTAGTTTGGTAAGTATATACTTTTCATAAGTACTTTTGTCACAAAAACAAATTTATATAGAATTAAGGTGTTTTTAAAAATATCAGGAAATTTACAATGCAGAGATATCAACCTGTGATTTGAAACCAAACACACAAAATTAATATATTCTAAGTAGAAAAATAAAAAGATACCAACATGTGTTTTGATACCAACATACACAAAATTAATTGAAGATACTTAGTGTAAAACAAAATAGTACTGAATTATAAAAAAATCTATGGATTATAATTTAGACACCCATCTACCTTAATGGTTATGTTCATTACGTAAAGATCTACTTTCTCTTTTGACTTGCTCTATACATGTCCATGCTGTATTTGTATTATAAATGGCAAACCCTTATAAGTAAAACATCTTGTACAAATCGATTTCTTATCACATGGTCAATGCCTTAATTGACATATTTCCATATAGTGATTATTTCTCTTTTATCTAATAAACAAATGATGATATATGAAATTTTGAAGGTTAACAAGCACGCTTAATCAAAACAAACGAAGCAGTACAATATGATTACAGATGTGAAATTAAATAATGCCATATAGTAGTTCAGATTTCAAAGTATTGAGTTTACTTTTAGTCTTACCTAGCGTTTTCTTTTAATGATACACTGAGATGCATATGTTTAGAAAATAATGCTTTGTCAGCCAATTCGTTCAGGACCGCACTGGCAAATAGAGCAGAACCTTCAATAAAAAAAATGCCATACTGACATTTCATAATAATTCAATAACTTGATAAGGACGTTTGAAAATGTAATACAATGAAAGTCTTCATATCCGTTTCATTTAACTTATTAATAGATCACTCACAAAATGATTATAAAACTTTAAAATGTCTTGTGTCCGAAGCACTTTTCTTGAGTTTTATTCATCAGGATACGCTCAAAGACGAATAATTGAAATCCAGAAATGTATAAGATCTTAAAACCTTTTGTGTATACTTGGTCATGTAAAATGCACTGTTCATTACTCACCAAAAATGTCCTGGAATGACATCTTTTTGTATTCAAAGAGAAATAAATAATGCATGATTCAGACAGAAACTAATGATAATAACTGGATTACATACTCCAAACCAAACACAGCCAAAAAGGTTTAACATCGCACTAATTATTTATTAAGTTCAAATACTCAAAAACTTGAATAACAAACATTTTGTCTTTGGTGAAATAAAAAACCGAACAAAGGGACACTCCCTACATCACAAGGTGTTGTATATGACAATAACAAACAGGACATTTGTATGTTCGGACTGAAATTCCGTCAAAAAAGCATTACTGATATTCAGAACCTATATTGTATCCATTATAATACTTAAGGATGTATTCTTATGACGTTTCAGTCTCGTTGAAATGTCGTTCTGGAATTATTTCCAAAACATGTGATACAAGTGGAAAATAGCAATGGATTTAATAAATATCACAATCAAACTTAACTCTGTGAAAAAATTGTGTATTAACAATAAATAGTTTTTGAGTAATAAATCTTTCAAATTTTATTACCAATCAAGTAAGTCTTTTTAGCCAAAATTTTGGGAAAATGGGTGAGGGGTACAAGAAATGATTTAACCAGAAACATGTACATCCCATATCACTTTTTTCTTTCCAGATACGTATTGTTTCAATCATTTATAACAAAGAAGTTGAAATAATATGCATTTGTTCTAATAATAGGGAAAATCACAAATTTCAAAAATTGACAGCATGCTAAATTTGACACAAAAAATCATCAAAAAATGATAAAACTTTCTTGAATTAACACTTACCTATAATTTTTTAAGTTAAATTTATTCAGATTGGTCAACTACATCTTTTTTGAAAGTATGCAAAAAAGGTTAATTGTGGAACTATGATTTTTTTCACGATAATAGCCACAAAATGGGTACAAATTGAAAAAAAAATGGAAAATCATCAAAATTAGGTACTTTGAAAGGGCTGTAGCAAAAAAAGAGAAGCGCATCACCATATGATTTTTTCTTCACCAACTATTTGTTTACAGTTATATAAACCCAAAAATCAGGTTAAGAAAAAAAGTTTAATTCTAGAAATATTTGGCTCCTCAGAGGTGTACATCCTTAATCAATAGAGGAAATCTTGAAATCATGTTGATGTACAAAATGTATGTTCTTTATTATCGATAATAACATCTTACACGTATGGTCGGTTTCCAGTTCCCAAAATATCATAGCCATTTCTCTCCAATTTACCAGAACCGCCCAAACAAAAAGATGATGGAAAGGTTTGTCTTTATAAATTAGATCTATCTCCTCATGATCTTGACCTGATAAAAAAAAATATGTTCTGTAAATATTCATCAAACAGTTTAATAGAAACGACCTTGGAACACAATGCTTTTATTAAGGAAAAGAAATATATTTTTTTTTATCTATTCCATGTACGAAATCACATAACCACACATCAGTATTTCGTATCATTCCAAAAAGGTTGCTTTTATTAGGCAAAACATAATTTTATCTACCTTTTTCATTATTGTACTAATCACAATAATAGCCAAAATACATTGTCAAATTAATTTGAAATTTAGATGAGATATCAAAAATTATATGACAAGGAATATTGTTATTTGTGTAGGAGAAATACTTTATCTATTTTTTAACACATCTTAGCAATGAATAACACAAATTTTCCATCAGAAAAGTTAATGATAAATAACTGCCATGTAAATTAGAAAACCATAGAAACAAATTTGAGCAGAAACAATCCAAATGTAAAGAATGGTAAGTAATTGGTTAACAATAATATCTAAAAGAATATTTCAAACTAAGAAAGGCTTAATCGGTCTAGTTCCAATTTAATAGATAATTTGTCAAAAAAACTGATGCCTAAAACACCTTTGTCTCCTCAGTCTCCTTCAAAATGTCTCCATTGTTTCCTATAGAATGAAATAATATTCGGAAAACATTTTCAGGTAAACATGAAGTATACAAATATATATTGTCTGTAATAGGGTATATACAATCACCCCCTTCCTCTCCGTTGTGTCCTTACCTCCGTTGTCTCCTTTGTTTCCTTTTTCTCCACTGTCTCCTGTGTTTCCATTATTTCCTATAGAAAAAGGTAAAATCAAGTATTGGACTCAAAAAGGAAAGTCCCTAATCAAATGGCACAATAAAAAGCTCAAACTCATCAAAAGAATGGATAACAACTGTCATATTCCCGACTTGGTTCAGGCATTTTCTTATTTAGAACATTGTGGATTAATCCTGGTTTCATAGCTAGCTTATTCTCTCACTTCTATGACATATATGAGATATCAAAACAACTGATTTTGATTGTAGGTACAATATTTTGAGGAAAAGTCTGCCCTTTAAATTGAATACAACAAAAATGTAGTAATGCGACCAACATTATAGAAATTCATGCTTAGAAACATATTTACAGATTTCTGAAATAAGATCACTGCATGTAATAGGACAAGGTAATATACTGCAGACAAGCGTGATTTGTTTTATATACTTATCATCAAAATTACCGATAATTGAAGACGTTTTCTATAGAGCAAAGCTATCTTAGCTTACCTGTGATATGTTTGACATCGTACAACTTAAATTCTGGATCTTCAAACAAATCTATGATAAAACTGTTAACAGATAAGAGTACTCTGTTGTTTGTTTTTCTCTTATTTCTACGAAGCTGCAATGTAAAATGTAAAGGAAGTCAAAATTAAGAAAAAACCACTTCACCATTTTAGACTCTCTTAAACAGAAAGTGAAATGTAACCTGTTGTGTGTACGAGCCTAAAATGTAATGTAAAGTTATCGAAAATATGTGTCAATTACTTATATTTATTCCAACTGTATTGTAACCTTTACTGTTTTCTTATTTGGATACGCTTTATAATGGCATTATGTTCTAGATATTGTACTGTTTACTTAATTTTGTGATTTCCCTGTTACATTTTAATCAATATGTTCCAGATAATGAGCAAACAGAAATATTATGTCTAAATCGATTTTTTAGAGATTATTTTATAACGTATTCAATGATTTAATTGATATTGGTATCTCCTTAGACCACGCATGGCTGATAAGTTTTTCTGGTTACGGATTCTTCTTTTCTATTTAAGTATTTATGATAAAGTCAAAACATCGAAACTTTATAAAACAAATTTCTATTTTAAGCCAGGAACTACTGAAAAGAGAAGGAAATGAAAGTGTATGTTGTAATGCAATAATCATCTCGTTTAAAGAATTCAAAAGGACATGTTTTTTTTATATCTAAATGAAACATACTTACTCAAAACAGACAAATACATAATTTAGTTCATAATAGAACAAACTTGTAAAACCACTTACACTATTGCTCTCAGCTCCTCTTTCAAAGGTTTCATGACGTTTATCCCCATGCTAAAGAAATATATTGATTGATTGATGTTTTAACGCCACTTTTAATCGCCTATTGGAGCTATTTCGTGGCGGCCAGTTTTTATCGGTGAAGGAAGCCGGAGTGCCCGGAGAAAACCAACGACCTTCGATAGGAAAACTGACAATGCTAGTCTATTAAGGTCGGAGTCAAGTGCACCCGTAGGTGCGGGGTTCGAACTCACAACCTCAGTGTTGACTGGCTAGTGATTACTACTTATGTTAATTGGCCAGCGAAGCCCCATTAAATATATAAAATATATACAAATCTAATATAGGTCGTGTTTGCCAACTATTTTTGTTCGATCAGTAAACATGTTTAGTTTACTATAACAGCGTTGTATACATCCGGATCAGAAGCAGTGTGTTTGTAATATGGGAGGTACATATTTGTTTAATTCCTATGGCAACGTCGAAATATGTCATTAATCAAATTCATGTTAGATAATATACACAGTTTGGCATGAACATATTTATGATATTGAATAATTTTAAAATCATACAAATTTTCACACTTTGAATTAACTTATGATTTGACGTACATTGTGCATTGTTACCAGATCTAAATGTTTCACTATGTCGATTATATTAATATGAAAATGTGGCATGTTCAAATCTTTGTTTTAAACTTTAGTGTAATCTGTTATGTTTTGTATTTGAAGGTGCAATTTGTTGCATTTATTTTTAGATCTTATATTCATTATAATTTAAGACGTTTCATGTGTTCCTTCTATCGATATTTTTCAGATAATAAGCAAACTTATAAGTGGTTAAAAATCGTTTTAGAGAAATTACTGTTTGAAATAAATAAAACGAGAAAAGCTGACAAGAAATCCTTTGACTCTTTTTTTTAATTCAGTAATGAACATAGTTGATATACGTATACAACATTTTAAAGAACATTTTACTCCTAACAACAACCATTATAACCCTTTTTCTCGTATCAAAAATAAACTAACAGATCTCGTCAAGGAATTTGTTTTTGTCCAGTCTGATAAGGCTGCTAATAATATCATTAATGTTTGACGTCAATTTTACATTGAGATTCTTTAAAAGGAAATCACGAATTCACCAACATTTCAACTGACTTCATTTTTGGAAAATGACATCTTGACCGTTAAATTTAGTCTAGGTTTGAAACAGCCCATCCAACTGAATTGTATATTGATCTTACAAAATTCCAGGTTATTTGGCAATTTGATTCATTGCTGTCAAATTACAGGATTTAATTGATAGGTAAAAATAGCTAGAATTTTCAGTTTTGATTAAATTCACATGGTCACCTTTAATTATTTTCATAACTTCTTCAAACAACTTGGATTTTCACAAAACATTACAGCTATCTCAATTATACATTGAGCTTAGATAATGCCAGTTTGTTTGGTAGTTTGATTAATTGCTGTCAAATTTAAGGATTTAATTAATAAAATAACAAATAACTAGAATTTCAGTTCGGACTAAATTTTTTTGTTATAACTTTACAAAGTCAAATATATTACCTCTTTTGTCAATTCATCATGTATTTCATCTGGCTAAAACATTAAAAAAAAGAAAAAAGAATTATGTAGAACTATAAGAAAATAGGGCAAAGTTAACAATGAGACACAATTCTCCACCAGAGACCAAGTGCGACAGAAGTAAACAACTATATGTCACCGTACGTCCAACAAAAAGAGAACAATCAATACGCTTAGTCAGTTATAAAAGTCGTCGACATCACAAATAAAAGGCCTGATTGGTGTACACAATAATGAACGAAAATAGAATAAAATATAATAAAAAGCTACTGACTAGTCAGAGGCAAAGCATGTAGCAAGGTAACATTAGTTTTGTTGGCGCAAAACCTTTCCCTAACCTAGCACAACAGTGTAACAATTCAACATAAGAACAAACTTGAAAAAAATAGTTAAAAAGTGTTGGAGGTCACTGGGTTGTCTTCCTCTATCTTTGGTTTTGAAATTGCAGGACAAATCGGTCTGGATCTTTAATGAAATGTGCACATTTCGAGAGTGTATGTATTTCATGTGTGAGACTTTAAAGTAGAAAATTACGTTTCTTATCATATTTACAGCTTTAATTTACACAAAAAAAAATTTTGTTTTGATTCAATCATGTCAATTTATTTTAACTTTTGCCATATAAGGGAAAAATTCAGATAAAGTAATTTTTATAACGGAATGTGTTGCAAATTTACCTATTTTACAATGTAGCAAGAAAACGAGTCTGAAAGCATAGTGTACGTTGTAAGAGCTATCTTCTAACATTTCATCTTCAAATTCTATGGTGTAGATTTCTTCTTATCACACAAAATTGGGATTTCCATTCATAATCTATACAAAATCTGACAATGTTGTCTCACATCTAGCGTAAAAAGCATGATAGAAACTACACTTTGACCAATTATTCAAAAATTCTATTGATTTTAATTCAGACCTTCACCTTAACAAATTAACACAAAGCCGAAACACATTAACCGAACGTTGCAAGACGTTTATACATCCCCATAACAAACACATTACTTAAGTACAGATCTGAGTGTACTCGAAGCTTCTGACGGCTAGTTCAAAGCCAAAAAAACACATCCAATAATCATTAAATGTGTTGTAAACTAAAAGATAAACTTAAACAGCCAAGACAAACAAATAACCTTGTGCAATTTCAAAATAAGAATGTGAATAGATATAGGAAGATGTGGTGTGAGTGCCAATGAAACAACTCCCCATCCATAATGTATATATAAGATATATTTATTAGATTTTAGCGAGAGAAATTTGTTTATTACTGAAAAATTATTACACCAGGGTTTTCGATATGACAAACTAGTCAAAACATTTACTAAATTTTATCATCGGTACAAGGACATCATTTATAAATATAATTCAACATGCAGACATCTTATACGTTCAGGTATTTCACATCCAATTTTTTATGGTAATATTTTTTTACAAAGCACAAAAATGTCAGCATTCACCTCAAAAGCTAACAAAACCTTTAAACAGACTTAATAAGAAGGGATATAGTTACGATACTGTTGCCAGGTCATTAAAGATTGCATATTTTGGCTTTAATATTGATTCACTTACAGGGTCTTTGCATCGGAAATAAACACATTTATTCTAAAACTAGTTGTTGGCACAATACGGGTTATGTTCTTCTCATATATCTTATGATTGTATAATACTAAACCCCTAACGGGAAGGATTATACTTGATATTCATATTATGAATACATAATTTTTCAATCAGTTTATTTGAGGTCTGGATCTGGCATGTCAGTAACTGCTAGTAGTACTTTTTTAAATTATGTATCATTCTGTTTAGTTTCTTTTGTTACCTATTCTGACATCGGACTCGGACTACTTTTGAACTGACTTTTACTGTGCGTTTTGTTGTGTGTTTGTTTTTTTACTACATTGCTTAGATGTATAGGGGGAGGGTTGAGTTCTCAAAAAACATGTTTAACCCCGCTGCATTTTTGCGCCTGTCCCAAGTCAGGAGCCTCTGATTTTTAATTTTAGTTTCTTATGCATATTTCGGAGTTAAGTATGACGTCCATTATCACGGAACTAGTATACATTTTTGTTTAGGGGCCAGCTGAAGCACGCCTCCGGGTGTGGGAGTCCCTCGCTGCATTGAAGACCCATTGGTGGCCTTCGGCTGTTGTCTACTCTTTGGTCGGGCTGTTGTCTCTTTGACACATTCCCCATTTCCATTTTCAATTTTATTTATAACAATATAATTGGTAACCATTTAGAAAAAAAAAAGTTTGTTTACAGGATTTCTAAGTTTAACATGTTAAAAATGTTTTTTTTTAAATTTTTGTAAAGATTAAATTTCTGTCTAGATTTATAGACAGTTAATTATTCACAGTTTCGAATATTTATGCTACACACTTGAAGCAACAGCTTAACATGAGAAACGGATACATGTATATTGCACACACACATACACTCAAATAATCATACACATACGTACAGACAGGAAATATAAAATACAACAATAATTATTGCCAAAAATCAAACCTGGTTACTAATTAATTCCATCTTACTCCTTTTATCTTTTTAGCTTTAGGTGTTTAAGAAAAGTATATAGAATATTAAACTGTTTGAATATGTCTCTGTTTTTTCATGCATATTTATTTTTTCAAAGACAGTTTATTAGTTGCATTAACGGTTTGTGTGATCAAACAGCACTGTATCCATTTCACACATGCTTATTAAGTCATAAACATACCAAAATAATATAATTGAATCCATATGGATACACACACCCACACCCACACAGACGAATAAATAATATAATTAGGAATAGAACAATATTGTCAAACAACTTACGCTGTCGCTCGTATCTTCTTTTACACGTTGTTTATTCCAATGCTAAAAGAATATAAAATATATACATATAATGTAGATCGTTTCTGCAGACCATTTTTCCTGATGAATAATACGCATGTTTCATTTCTAATAAACGGTTGTATAACCGGAAATACAAATGTACATAATCAAGTAATGGTCCTTATGCCTACAGAGGTACATTTAAATGCAAAATAAAATGTAGGTAAATTCAGGCAAGTTTTCATATTTTGGATAAACCTTTGATACTTGTATAACATTGTTAATGGAGATAAATGATTTCAATATACATAGAGCAGTTTCGTTGATATTGACACATTTCAAGTCTTTCTGTGTATATCTTTCATAATGATTGTAAATTTACCTTTTCTATAAGCTGAATTGCTAATTCTTCTTTGCTTTCAATGCACTGAAATATATAATTATAATTGCATCTGAACAGATCAATGTATAAAGACAGCACACAAAATAGTATAGCCATACGAAATTGAAACAAATCCTTCTTCCCTTCAATTGAATGCTTCTTTTTGTAAATTCATTGGGGTGTAAAAGTGCTTCATTCTAAAAATGTACGCACTGTCAACGCTTTTACAACCCTATAAAATTACTAAAAGAAACATTCAATTCTTATACATACATTTTTTAGCTATGATCATGAAAACACGATTACAATCTAGGTTTTCTTGTATTTACCTGTGCACTTTATTGTAAAAACGTGTGTCATCATGTATGTTACAATTCATGCAATTCATTTTGAAATGAAGAATGACAAGAGATTGCTGTTAGCCAATCAAAACAATGGACAATAATGAAACATACATCTAATGTAAATATTTGCGACTAAACATCATCGTTTAAGATATGTTGTAAGTAGAATTTTGCATAAAAAGCGATCATATCGATGTCTTCATCTACATTTTCAACGTGTATGCTATTTTTAGCGTCCGTAATTTAACATAATAATTTTTAATGCATATCTAATTAATAAATTTCTGGGGAAAAATAAAATCTTAGTGGATAATAGTGTGTTTACTTTGGGAAGTTTTAATCAAGTACCATCCGTGTAATAGCAGTTAACATCGTGTCTACATTAAATACGAAAGATAAAAAACAGTATACTTACCAGCCTGAATACATTTGGTAAGTTATCGAGTATAAATGAGCTCATGCTTTCTATTTTCTCCATTATCAACATGACAAAGTCCGTTCTGTTAGCTAAAAGCGATGACTTGAACAGCTCTGAAACATTGTCTTTTTCATATTCCTGTTTTTCAAAATGTGTATATTTTTTATGATTATTTGCAAACACGTTCTGGGTCTTCTTGTCTTCAGCATGACTTTTTTTGTCAAAACAAAATATATATATTGCTATTTTAAGACCTTGATGGTTGTGTTTGTTCTCATTGAGTATTGTGTATAACGTTGCAAGTAACGATTATCTTTTTTGTTTGTATACGATTTGAAATATTTGTTTCTAGAACTAAATACATTGTACATTGAATCAGCACTATGTTCAAACTAATTTTGAATTTCAAAATATATATCTCATATCGAAATGAAATATTGACTATCTTACATTTACATTTTACTAACGCATAAAGACGTTATACAAGTTATCAATTTCATAATAAAATGAACAAAGTTGTATCAATATCCAACAATCCGCGTTTGCGTTCGATTATTGAAAAGTGTTTTTTTGGACTGAATACCAGTTGGTAATCAATCGTAGGCTTAAATCAAAGCAAAATATAGATAAATCATGAAATTTCTGTTTTAAACAACATAAAGCCACTGTTCATAACGCTCTCGTATTTTAAAAATACTTAGAAATGTTACATTTAAAGTAGGGTTCCAAAGTACACACTTATGCAGCTTGATGTAGCTAAGAGAACTATTTTTCATTAAGATACCATCATACTCTTACAAGTGTGTTGTTATTCTACGATGTATTAAACTGTTGTTTTGTTTTATCAACATTATGGACTTTTCGTTTCACATTCTTTATTCACACATACATTATCTTATCCAACAACTTCTATATAAATATAAAAAAGGAGATGTGTTATGATTTCCAACGACACAACTATCCACCAAAGTTCATAAAGTGGAAGTAAGACCCCTGAAAAAACCAAACAAGGCCTCGACATGAAAAATATGAAAGAATTCATTTGAGAAAACTAACGGCTTATTTATAACAAAACAATTTACAAAAAAACTTAATTGTTTTAATTTTGGTAAATTGATTTGATATAAATTATTCCGTTAGTTTTCTCAATTGAATTGTTTCATATTCTTCATGTTGGGGCCTGTTATAGGCAACCATATGGTATGGGTTTTTCTCATTGTTGAAGGTCGTACGGTTGCCTATAATTGCTTACATCAACTTCATTTGAATTTTGGTGGATAGTTGTTTCATTGGCAAGCATACCACATCTCCTTGATTTCATATTAACTCATCACATCGATGCAAAGAAAACATCTAACAAAAAAATCAAACAGGACATGGCAGGGTATATATCCATTCCTCATCCCGGACAACAAGAAATACATTAAGTACAGATCTGAGAGAACTCTCAGTTAATGACAGCTATTTTAAAGCCAATAACAACTATTTGAAAAAACATGTTTTTAAGCTAAGACTACTATATCAATCAGTACACATCCAAATTATAACTGATTTAGTGTAAAGACGTCAATAAAAGCCAGAGAAAATATGACCAATAGCATTGCTAATATATAGGTATCTTCAGATTGCAGATATATGCATTGATCTATCTTTGTGTTTCTTATTTCTACCAGAAGAGAAGAGAAAATTAATTGGAATTGCGATATGATTTTTATTTCGATATCAAATAGCATTTAGACAGGATTTGTTTTTTTATAAATATAAATGATATGTATATTATTTAATTCGTAGACAATTTTAGAATGTGGTTATGTAGAGAAAAGAAGCAAAAAATGAACTCTTAACATGTCATTGGAACACATATCTTTAGTATCTATAAGAAAAACAAATTTATATATTTTACAAATTAAATTTCAGTTGCTAACCACTTATCAACATTATCAACATTTAATAAAAACATATCATCATGTTCATTTGTTCGGTTCGTATCTGTTTCTTACAATTTTTTTTTTATAAAATTACGAATTAAAAGGAACACGGTTAATGCTATAACGGTATAGTGTCATGGTTTGTATCTTTTTTCTTGTAATCCCTAATCCAATTTTCTTCGATATTCGCGATTAACTTAGTTACTGTAAAAACAGTTCGTCTTTGCATCGTGTTTACTTGTATTTATTTATGGGTATCGCGATAGCTGTTGATTTGGATATATCACATACGTAACAGTACGGAACTTTCTGCATTGTATTAGTTTAAAATTGACCATTACTGGTAGATGATTTTCGTAAAAATGTAACTTTCATAGATGAAAACTGACGAGCATAATAGATTTAAACTAATTTTGTGCATTTATATAAAAAAATATAACAAGACTGACTTACTGACCTATAGTGGCGGTACATTGTGTCAAAACAAAACAAAAAGAAATCTTTGTACTTCTTACAATTATTGTTGATCTGAGTTTAAGTGACTGTGGAATTATAAAGATCAGAATTCGTGTATAACAATAAATTCTGAGGTATTACAAAAACTAGATTTTAATGCAGGTACACAGTATTCAAGTAGAAGCCGACAAAAATTTGAGCAATTTGAAACTCAAACAAATTACATTCGTGAAAAATTCAAACGGACATTTAACAAATAATATTGTCATTGTTTTTAGGTCCCGCAAAAAAATATATATGAGTTTTCTTGCGCTTGTATCTTTAATTAACTACTTTACTGATTTGTTTTTGCTTGTTATCAACATTATAAGTCATTGAAGACATATCATTGTAGTGTGTCATAAAGTAATTCTCATTTCCATTCTGCCTAACATCGCTGTTATTTCGGTTTTCCAAATTGCTTTGCTATTTACAAACAAAATAGTCACATATCTAATTTCAGAAAGTGTATTTAATTTAGTCCTTTATCATACATGATTTTTATATGGAACATTGTACAAGAGAGGACCTTGCAGCATATGGTGGCATAGTTTAGTGCTTATTTTAACTTTTTCAAATATTTTTTCTTGGGGGGGAATAAGAAAAACAAAAATACCTGATAATTTTAGTTAATAATTTTAACACAAAGGTGGTAATTATTCTTTATTGTGGGTATTATTGGGGGTTTTTCATCTTCTGGTCGTTTTGTGCAATGATATTGAAAGTCATGTTTTTGTTGTACTTGTCAATTACAATTATTTTCTAATATTATAAATGATCAATTTTACTGTATATATATTGAAGAGGAGTTTCGTTATCGAAGAATGCAATTTTAAAACTATATCAAGTTTATAATTTTCATTGTTTCAAATGCACTTCTATTATTGCGAAAATATCATGTTATAAACTTCGGAGGAAACATAAAGACAATATATATCACACCTATCGAACACGTGAACTGCGGTTGATGAAAAATAATATGACGATTTAACATGATGGACAATGATCTTCATATTAGTAGCTACTATAGCAGTTTGACACTTGTTTTACACAATAAAAAAGGACCAGCGAAACAACGAAAGTTCTGTTTCGTCTGCTTACTTTTCCTTAATAACGAACCGGAAATATGGATATTTCCCTATAATATATCATGACCTAAACAGGGTTTTGTAGTTAAATGGTAGTTTATAAGAATAACTCTTCAGATTTGACGTAATTTGGTAAAACTCATTAGTTTAAATTTATAGTGGTTACGATAAATACAACATTCTGATGTCATCGTATAAGTAAAACATATATTCTATTAAGTATCTTGCTTTGAATTCTTTTTAGAAGGTTCAAATTATTAGATACATGTACATTGTTTGGGCTTGCAAAAAAAAATAAGATTTTGTGTAACTCTATAGTTAAGATGAACAGTATAAAACATATATTGACAGGGTTATAGTTTTTAACAAATTATCTATTCTAATATTGGTTCAAGTTCTGATTCTCATACCTAACCCCAAGACAGGAAAAAGATGCCTAATAATTACTTAAAATTGAGAATGGAAATGGGGAATGTGTCAAAGAGACAACAACCCGACCATAGAGCAGACAACAGCCGAAGGCCACCGATGGGTCTTTAATGTTTGTTGTTAACTTGTTTGTTATAGTGTTTAAATGTCTTTAATGGCTGAATGCGTTATTAGATCCATAACATTTCTAGCTTTGCGAAATGTTGTTGCTTAGTCATATACAGTAATTCGGAGGAGAAAAAGTTGCTTTTAAGTTACGATGAATTGCTAAAAATTGGTAAAGAAAGTCAATCCTTTTTTTGCATGTTTTCTAGAAAATGTATCCAAGTTGCAAAATAAGTTTTTAGTTGAACAATACTGATATTCTGGAAAAGTTTATATAAATGAACCCAATGATCCAACTATATTGCAAGATGATCTTGTGATTCAAATCTATTGAAAATTGTGAGTTCTTTATTTACGTCTGTAGTCAGAAAATGATATAATATGTATATGAAGAATTATCAAAAACGCACAATATCAATACTAATATCGTTGAGTTTTATAGCATTATTCGTTCCATTTCAAACAGAAGAAAATGTATAATAGCATGTATTTCTAAGATGGACAATTTTTAACATCAATTGGTTGATAAAGTTTTAAAGTAAAATCATGAAAACTTGTTTATAGATTATTTTTAGAAGGTAATAAAATATTGCTTTATTCTTATTCATATTTCGCCTTCGGTCTCAAGTAATAAATTAGCTTAACTTCTCTATGAGGGGTGAAGCTTACATGTCATATCTCTGTTTAAAGAAACAAACTATAACCACCAGACCATAGATGGCCAGTGACCTTGACCCTAGTATATAAGCACCTGTTCCATAATAACTTGTCATTATTTTTCTAGAGGGTGTGAAGTGAACACAACACTTCACTTGAATTCTGTTTAGTTATTTTATTTGTTATCTAAGATTTAGGGGCAAGTTACTTCAATTACATTTAACTTGTCTACGATGTACGACAAGTGCTAATGTTAATTAGACATAATAATTTCTCAATTGTCTACGATGTATGACAAGTGTTGTTGGAAATGAATTAAAAATTTCTTGTCTACGATGTGTGACAAGTGTTGATGGAAATGAATTAAAAATTTCTTGTCTACGATGTATGACAAGTGTTGATGGAAATGAATTAAAAATTTCTTGTCTGCAATGTA